AGCAGACAGAAGTTCTCTCTCTCCTTCTCTGTCACTCCCTTTTTAAGACACCTGCATCTCACACTGGAGTAAATGAGTTTAACTCCTAGCTTCAGCTTCCAATTCCAGCTTCCCACCAACACAGATCCTGAGAGGCAGCAGGGAGGGTTCAACTAATTCAGTTCCTGCCACCCACACAGGAGACTTGGATTGAGTTCCCAGCTCCTGGGTCCAGGCCCCAACCAGCCATTACAGGCATCTGGGGAATGAGCCAGCAGATGGAAGCTTTCTCTCAAAATACAAAAATGTTCAAAAATTCAAAAAATGACAAAAACTTCTATTTACATACCTTACAGATGTACTGCAAGATGCACGGCCTGTGTGGCAGAAGTTGTACAGTACCTTGAAAGTCTCAGTTGAAGGGCTATAAAAATACAGAAAACATCAGGACAGAACGTGAATAAGAATGCTGCAGAGTTCAGTGAAGTAAGTGCTCAGTGAACAGTCCAGGAGAGGGAAACGGGGCCGGCACTACTCAACTGAGTGGGCTCCTGCCACTCGTGGAAGACTGACTTCTCCTTGACCAGCTCTAGCCACTGAGACCACTTGGGGAGTGAACCTGTGGATGGGAGCCAAAGTGGATGCACTCTCTGGTTCTCATACTCTCGCACTCTCCCCTTCTCAAATAAATAAAAATTTGTTTCAAGATATTTACTTCGGTACAAAAAAATGTTGAAAGCCATGCATATGCAGGGTCTCTCAAGCATTCGTGGAAAAAATGTATTATGAAAGAACTAAGCATGAACTTTACAAAATATATTTGTAACAAAATAAGAATTTTTAAATTCCATGTTCACCAAACACTTTTAAGTACTCTGGTACTTTACTTACACGCTGTAATTAGGGGGAAAAAAAAAAAAAACAAGCTCAGTATGATATCAACTGCATCCCAGTTGCAATTTAACAGTCTGTATATCATAGTTTGATTATTACTAGCTATGAAAATATACACAAAATCATTTGGAAGAAGCACCAATAAAGTGACAACACCCAGAAGAGCAGCTTCAGTGCCTATCTGATTTTGTCACATGACTACCATAATTATGAGTATATAAGGCTTTCACCCAATACTACAGCACTACAGATTAAAAATGAGTCACTTGAAATAGGGATTTTATAGTAATTACTAACTTCAAACTGTCCTGCAAAATTTAATTTACTTAATAGTGAGTATGCCCCCAAAAAGCATCTAACACTAACAATGTTAAAATTTATTTATAGGGGCGGAGTTGTGGCACAGCACTTCCAATCCAGGCCTTTTTATTTTCTTTAATGTATTTATTTGAAAGGCAGAGGCAAAAAGAGAGGTCTTCCATCCCCAAATGGCTGCAACAGACAGAGCTGGCTTAATCTGGAGTCAGGTGCTTCTTCCAGGTCTCCCACATGGGTACAGGGGCCCAAGGATTTGGACCACCTTCTTCTGGTTTCCCAGGCCATAGCAAAGAGTTGGATTGGAAGTGGAGCAGCCGGGACATGAACCAGCGCCCATATGGGATGCCAGCACTGCAGGCAGTGGCTTTTCCCACTACGCCATAGCGCCGGGCCCTCCAGGTCCTTTCTAATGCACCTGGGTAAGTACTTGAGTCCCTGTCACCCATGCAGGATACCCAGATAGAAGATGTGGTTCCCAGCTGGACTAGGGCACCTGGGCTAGCCCCACCCCAACTACTATAGTCCTTTAGGGAGTGAACCAACCCTCTACCTCTCAAATAAATAAATCTTTAAAATATTTTTTTAAAAAGGATTGTTACTGCAGTGTCCAGTCTGACATTATAAATGAGTAAAACTAGAAACCTAGCTATATTAATGTGTAAGTACAAACTGAGTTCCAATGGACAAGTGCATGAAAGGACAAACTAAATGGTAATGGATGACAAAATTCCCAAGACCTTTTAAAACCACAAACATATAAGGTCCTTTTTGGAATTTAGTTATTATGTGCCACTTATCATTATCACTAGTAGCTGTAATTCTGTTAAACCCAATGTGCTATCTGTAGAAGTCCAGCAAGCCCAAATTAATTCTCTAGTTTAGCTCTCAGAGTTAATATATCTCTCAGCTCGCTAACACAAGTGTGTCCTGGCTGCTCCACTTCTGATCCAGCTCCCTGCTAATGTGCCTGGGAAGGCAGTGGAGGATGGTTCAAGTGCTTAGGCCCCTGCCACCCACCAGGGAGACCTGGACAGAGTTCTAGGCTTCCCACTTTGGTCCAGCCCCACCCCAGACGTTTTAGCCATTTGGGAAGCCAACCAGCAGATGGAAGATTTCTTTTTCTAACTCTGCCTTGCAAATACATAAATATGTATTTTTAAAATCTTAAAAAAAATAAAGACAATTAAGAAGACCCAAAGTAGCAACTAACCACTTGCATATCACCCTATCGACAACACACACCTAAGATCTGCCCGTTTTTACTTTCCTAATAACTCACGCCCCCATATACCTAGGATAAACTTTTAAAACTTAACTGGCTGACAGCATAGGAACCAAAACTATGAAAATACTCTAACAAAAACCACCACAACACACATGTGCACAGGGGACTGTTACCCTGATATGTACAGTTCCTTCCTCAGCCTGCCCCTATCAGGAGTCAGCAAAAGAGCCCGCAGTTGTCTGAAAACATCTCAGCCTGACCTCATTAGGCTGGTTCTGGAGCAGCCAGGCCTGGGCCTCTCTCCGGAAATTGGTCGCTTGAGACCCAAACACCTAAAGCCAGGAATAGGCAGCCAAGGACCTTGCAGGTATATTCAGGTATTTCTCACAAGTGACTGCAGCGGAACCATCCCGTTACGGAGAGTGCTGTGACAGCTAAGGAACTGAAATTTGGCTGGCAAATCAATTTTCACATTCTCCCAATCTATGTAAAGTCAGCAAGGTATAAAAGAAAAAACGGTAGAGTAAGTCCCAAAGTTTAGCTGACTCTAGTCCAGCTGTTTGGGAGTGTATTTGAGAATATCCTGCAGAGCAAACAGTTCTGGCCTGCTTCTAGCTAGATAATACCAGTATGATCCTGCTTAATTAAGTCTCTGGGACTCAGTTTCCTCATCTGCAGATGTGATTGGACTACATGATTTTAATTCATTTTAGTACTAGGTCTATGAAGATAATTGATCGATGTTATAATCCTACTCTATTCTCTCCAGTACAGATTTTTATGAGGACAGTAAACCTAGTACTAGACTTTGACTAAAACCAAGTTCCATCTTACATATTTTATGTCCCCAAGAGCCATAAAGTGCTCTACAAAAGTAGATGGAACTAACCTAAACCTAACCTAAACTTTTAGAATTGATTTGGACTTGATGGACTGCTATAGACAACACATTGGGTCCAACTGCATTATGGCTACTAGTGACAATGACAAGTGGCATAGACTCACAGGAGTCTAAAATTCACCTTAGATTTGTAGTTTTAAAGGGTCTCTAGAAATTTATCAAGAGATGCTTCAATTAAGGACTAGTCTTTGTAAGTTTCAGCCCAAACAATGTCATTTGTGCCACATACAACATCTCCACCAACCCAGCCTGGGTGTGTGACACTAAGTGGCTGAAAAAGTCTCACCATATACACCATTTTAAAATATGGAGGTTTGGGGCTTTGACATTTTTTTCCCCTTCAGATTTGGCAGAGAGGAATCTAATCTGATTGCACACCTGCAAGACACATTTACTTCAAAAGATCGTCTTAAAGGCAGAAATAACCGAACAAGTGACCAACAGAGTCTAACATTTTGAGAACAGGACTACTAGGAAACACAACAGGAAGCAACACGGAGGTAAAAAGGATGCAAGCTTCCACCAGAAATGACAAAACACTGCATTTAACGAAATCGACCTGGGGGCAAACAATGCTATTTAATGCAGACACCCTGTAACTGTGTATCCTATCCAAAACCAGGGGCAGATGTTTAGGTGAGTCCCAATAAAAGGCAGCAACTTCCACAGGCAAAACTACCTGCATTTTAATGCAACGTTGTTTAAATCATTAAAAATTTTCAACTGGAAAACACCCTTTTCCGCCCCAATTCAGGCAGCAGTCCTAAGACCTCAACACAAGCTTTTTTACTTAAGACTCTCTCCAAGCATACCGCATCAAAAAAAAAAAAAAAAAGGCAAATCTATTCAAAGCACAGCCGGACTTCTGCATAAAACGGTGATTCATGTGCTACAGCAGATGGAAAAGGTAAAATGGAGTTGTAAAGAGTTTCTCTCCCGTTTCAACTCCGACAGCCACGAGCGCTCTGCGGCTGCCGGCTGCGCCGCGCCGCGCGGCCAGGAGCCCCCGCCCAGCCCCGCGCGGCCGTGAGAGAGGAAGCTCCGGGGCGGGCGGGCGGCTGGGGCTCCAGCAGGCCCGGCCGGGCGGGGGAAGGGGCGCTGGAGGCGGCGGGGCGCGCTTCCGGGGCCGGCGCGGGCGGGGCCGCGGGAGCGGGGCGCGGGCCCCGGGCTGGAGTGAGGGTCAGGGGCCGGGGGCGGCCGGGCGGGAGCAGCAGGTGGGGCGCGGCCGCGGCGGGGCGGCGGGGCGGCGGGCGGCCGGGCGGCCGGAAAAGTGCCGGGCGGGCGGGCGGGCCCGGGGCGCCGCGGCGCCAGGAGGGGATCCTCCCGCTCACCTCGGGCGACGACTCCGAGTCCGGCCTCTTCGCGCCGAGGACGCCTGTCCGCGAGTCGCAAGCTCGGAGACGAGGGCGGGTAGCTGAGGCGGCGACGGCGGACTACCGAGAGAACCGACGGAGGACGGCGGGTGGCGGGCGGGGAGCGCGAGCGAGCGAGGGCGGGCGGCGGCGGGAGGGCGGGGAGCGACGTGCGCGTCCCCGAGCGCCCAGCGGGCTCGAGCCGGCCCTGGTCGCGGCCCCGCGCGCGCGCGCACACTCACATCTCAGCCACGATAGCTCAGGCGCGCGTCCACGCCCTAAAAGCAAGACGCTCAACCAATCATTACAGCCGCGTGGGGCATCACGGGAACTCTGGGGCTATAAAAGACCCGGTTGCTATTTTATACTCCGGGAGTCACTCATGCTTTAAGGGAGTAGGGTGGGGCTAAGTGCGCGTGCGCGGTTTTAATACTCCTCCCTAAACTGCCAACTCTTCGCCCAAGCGAGGTAGGCCCGCCCTGCCTGGTTCTACGCGTGCGCACTAACGGGCCTAGCCCCGGAAGACCTTACGCCTGCGCGGTGTGCACTACGGTGACAGTACCCCGGGTGGGGCGCGGGCCGGTCATGGCGGAGTCTTGGTCTGGACAGTCTTTGCAGGCTCTGCCGGCCACGGTGCTAGGCGCGCTGGGCGCGCTGGGCAGCGAGTTCCTGCGGGAGTGGGAGGCGCAGGACATGCGTGTGACCCTCTTCAAACTGCTGCTGCTGTGGTTGGTGTTAAGTCTCCTGGGCATCCAGCTGGCGTGGGGGTTCTACGGGAACACGGTGACCGGGTTGTATCACCGCCCAGGTGAGGCTCCCTATGAACCTCCGTGAGCTGGCCGCCCCCGCCCCCACCAGACTGAACCATTGGGTTCCTCAGAATCCCCCTAGACTACCAGAAGTCCACCAAGATCGTCAGAACTTAGTATTTTACCCTGACCTATGCTATCATACCGTATCATTTTATGCCAGAATCCCCACCGCTCCGCCCATCACGTTGTAACTGATCTCTAGAACCGTCACCAGACTCAGGACCCCTGGCAGATTCCACTAGCGGCCCCTACCCTGAATTGGGCTGATGCCTGCCCAGATCCCCACCCCCAGTCTACTGCAGCTCTGGCTGTGTTCCTGCCTTCAGGTCTGGGCGGCCAGAATGGATCCACACCTGATGGCTCCACACATTTCCCTTCGTGGTGAGTAGATCCGTCCCCCATCCCAGCCCCATGCATGGCAGGCAGAGAACACGCCCGTGCTGGTGATGGGGTGGGTAGTTGTCAGGGCACAAATCCAGCAGCACAGTGGCCTTGGCAGCAAGCTTCAGGTCTGCATGTAGAGGTCAGGGTTTAGACTGGGCTGACACCAAGGTCTGGAAAGTCCATCAGCACTTGAGCTGTCCGGGGGTGGGGGGTGGTACTGTCATAATTTCAGAAAGATGAACTAATAGATCTTCTGGATCCCACTCCCTGTAAGCCTCAGTTGGGAAGGCAGGAGCTGCTGTACTTAGCCCACCAACTGACCTCACTAGGGTCATTTATAAAGCTAATTCTGATGGGGGCTATGGAAGACCCAGAAAACAATGACAACCCAGGCCCTGCTCACAGCAGGAGCCAGAGATGTCTTTCTTTTTTTTTTTTTTTTTTTTTAAGATTTATTTATTTGTTTGAAAGGCAGAGTTAGAGAGAGGGAGAGAGAGAGAGATCCTCCATCTGCTGGTTCACTCCCCAAACAGCCACAATGGCCAGAGCTGTGCTGATCCAAAGCCAGGAGCCAAGAGCCTCCTCCATGTTTCCCCCTTGGGTGCAGGGGCCCGAGGACTTGGGCCATCTTCCACTGCTTTCCCAAGTGCAATAGCAGGGATCTGGATCAGAAGTGGAGCAGCTGGGACATGACCCGGTGCCCATATGGGATGCCAGTGCTGCAGGTGTCAGCTTTACCCACTGCATCATAGCACCAGCCCTGAGAGCCAGAGATTTTTTTTTAACATATATTTTTTATTTTTATTTTTTAAAGACTTATTTACTTTACTCGGAAGGCACAGTCACAGAGAGGCAGAGACAGAGAAAGAGAAGTCTTCCACCCGCTGGTCTACTCCCCAAATGGCTGCAATGGCCAGAGCTGTGCCAATCTGAAGCCAGGAGCTTCTTCCGGGTCTCCCACACGGGTGCAGGGGCCCAAGCACTTAGGCCATCTTGTACTGCCTTCCCAGGCCATAGCAGAGAGCCGGATCAGAAGTGGAGCAGCCAGGACTCGAACCAGTGCCCTTATGGGATGCTGCACTGCAGGCGGTGGCTTTACCCACTAAGCCACAGTGCCAGCCCCAGAGTCAGAGATTTATAAGGAGAGGGCAGCAATGGAGATGCAAGGTGGTCAGTGAAGGTTTTTCCCAAGAAAGATACCTAAGCTGAGGTCAAAGTTCAAAGAATGGCAAAGGAGATGAACAGAATAAGTCTCACAGGCAGTAGGGAAAAGAAAAAAGAGTGATAGGAAAATAGACAAGGCTGTGAGGCTGAAGTTTGAACATGAACGTGGCTCATGGACTGACTCAGTAAGGCCGTGCCCAGATCTAACTTGCCCTTTGTGGCAAATAGATAAAGGGGTCTAGGGCTGAGGGGAGGCCAGTTGGGAAGGCTGCTACTGGGGAAGATGGCAGCACTATGACAAGGTGAAAATCTGGGAGGAAGAACTGGGAGGCTGTCCAGGGGACAGGTGGGCCCAGGGTGGGCTGTATCAGCAGACAGGTCTAGACTGCAGTGCAGCCTTACTGAGCCCAGCTTAGCCTCCAAGAAAGGGCTGGGGAGAGCTGGCAGCAGAAACCATTCTGCCGCCCATGGAATAACCCTTCTTTTTCTCCATCACTTTCAGGGAAATGGCAGCAAACGAACCTCTCAAAACCCACAGAGAATAAGGGAAGGCAGAGAGGTCTCCAGGGGGCATCACTGGGTCTGCTGCTACTCAGGTCCCAGGGACAACACAGAGGCTCAGGGTTGGGGGCAAGGAGCGCCCAGTACTGCAGGACTGGGTCTCCACTGCCCTTAGCCCTGCCTCCAACAGCCCCAGGCGCTGGGCGAGTGAAGAGTTTGCCTCTCCCTTGATCTGGGTGCCTTAAAGGGAGAAAGTGTGTGCTTCCTCTCTGGGGTCAGAGCACAGGAGACTCCTTTGGGTTGAGGAGGCCAACAGACCCTTTTCCGTCTTGGCTTTTCCCTATCCCTCTTCTCATCGCACTGGGATGTGACCCTGCAAAGACTTGTCCCTTTGAGAGGAAATCTAAGATTGACTAAGATTTCTAAGGGAAGACTGTTCTACCCTAAGCCCTGAGTTTTCTGGATTTCTTTGCTTTTGCTTTGTTGCCAGGGAGCCAGGGAGTCCTGGCCTAGACCCGGCCTTCTGTCCTGTGGTCACTTATTTGGTCACTCAGGTATCAACAAGATGTCCTTGCTGGCACCAAACACCTACTGCCGTGGCCCTCCCAGTGTGAGCCAGGCACAGGAAAGAGTCATTCCCAACTGTCCTGCTCATATTTCTGTCTTTCTTGAAAGCCAGGGTTTGGGAGCAGTTGGTTCCTGGAAGAGGCACAGCCCTCCAGCTGAGCCCCTGGAATGACCTCCCACTTCCTCTGCTTAAGTGCCCATGGGGTCTTAGGTGTACCCTGCCCTCTCATAGGGCAGACTAAGCAGTGACTGCAGAGCAGCCCCATGGTGCTTGCAGCTGCACCGTTTCCCATCTTGACTGGAACAGGTAGGGCATCCTCCTAAGAGCCCAGTCTCAGTTCCTCCCCAGAAGTACCATCTCAGCCAGGACCTTCAAGGGAAAGATCCACAAGCCTCCTGCACAGTGCGCCAGGGGAGCTTCCAAAGGGGCAGGTGGCAGATGCCCCACAGAAACACTGTGTGGCCCTGGGCCTGCCTCCTCCCCTAATAGCCACACTTCTGCCTGCCTCTGCTGGATCACCAGCCATCCCACGGCCCGTTTGCTCTTTGTTGGATGTCACATTTCCATCTCATAGCCTTTGCCTAGGCTGACCCTGTGGCAGAGGTGTACCAGAAGTGGACGTGCACTGAGCTCATTCACACAGACCCATTCTAGAGATGTCTTCTGGCTGGCAGGATGGTGGTCTTCACAGGCCCACCCCACTGACATCACCGTACAGGCCTCACATTTCACCCCAGGCTCTGCTGAGGACATGGCTTATTAAACACAGAAGTGCATCAGTCGTGTGGTTATTCAGACGGGACAAGGGCCTGCATGCACAGGGGTGACTGGAGAGGGAACATCCTGGAACCTGTTGCCCCTCAGGACCCAGAAGTGGAGAGGTAGTGGGGTGCCCATTAGGGGCAATATTCTCGTTAGTTCTCACAGACTTGTGCCCTCTCTAGAGGAACCTGCTCTGAGCCTGTCTTGGAGGCCAGGAAGCCTGTGGACAAAGAACAATAAAGCTAAAGACCATAGCAAGTAAGAAGGAAGGAAGCTCATTTAATTTTTTTTAGGAGTCAATGTCTAGTAATGGGCCCCAGGGCAAAGGTCAGTCCAGGAAGAAGCCAGCCTGCCCTACAAGAGTCATAGGGCTGAGAAGAGGTGGCAAGCCTGCCATGGTTTGTACCCATGGCTAGGTCAACCTGGCAGTGTCAAAGAACAAGACCATGTCCCCTCCGTCACCCCCAAGTTCACAGTACAGGCACAGTAGCCCTACTGAGCCATCTCATGAGTCAGGAGTCATTCCTGCCCAAGAAGAGGCAGCAGTTTGCATTCATGGAAAGCAAACTGGAAGAGGCGGCCTAAGCCCACACTGCCCACAGTAACAACCCTTGGCATTGTGAAAAACCATGGTGAGGTAGGTTGGTAGGCAGGTGTATCCTCCCTTCAAAGGTGAGGCTTGGCTCTACAGCCAGCACCTGGCAGGGCAGGCAAGATGGCAGAAGCAGAACTTCTCATTGCCTCCATGAGATGAGAATGGGGTCAGTGGGACCGTGGACTGTAACAGCATTTGGTGAGCTGGTCGGTTACTTGGAAATAGAGTCCTAAATTGGAGTCAACATGAAGTTGGAGGGAATTAGTAGAGTATGGCCCCCTCAACCAGACTAGAGCCGTCGCCTCCTCTTGTTCCCACCCACAGTGGTGACTAGCCCTTTGTAGTACACCCTCCTGGGTAAGACTCCTGAAGGGGACGGCTCTGCTGTAAGCCCTCGTCACTTGAGGGTATAGTAGTTCGTAGGGACAAAGGGCATCTTGCTGACCACAGCCATCTGCTGCTTCCGCCGCACCTCTACCAGCAGAGGGGTTCCCGGCCGACTGTACTCCAAAGGCACATAACCCATGGCCACATTCTTCTTCAGGCAGGGCGAGGGGCAGCCACTGGTCACAGTACCTGTCCAAGCATAGGCCGTATATTAGCACCACCCAGCCAGCCTGGTGCCCTCCACCCTCCAGGGGAAGGGACAAGGGCTCCCTCCCCAGCTTCCCTCATCTACCTACCAATCCTGGTGCCCTCCACATTCAGGATGGGACTGTGTGCCCGCATGGGGGCCCCTTCACACATCAACCCCACACGCCTCCGCTGCACCTTGCCCTTCAGCTGGGGAACAATGACCTCGGCTCCAGGAAAGTCCATAGCAGCTCGGCGGCGCTTCCCTGGGACATAACACACCAGACCTAAGCCACAGTTCATAAACACACTGGCCATAGAGGACCGTAGCTCCAAGGACCCCAAGTGACACTGACCCAGCATCAAGGCCCCTTCCCTTGGGCTCTCCCAGGCTCAGTGCCTTCCCTGCAATCCCTACAGTCAGCCACCTTCTATCCCCTGGAGCCCATGCTGTCCACCTTGACCTCTGAGGGTCTTCAGCTCTTAATAGGCAAAGCCACAGGTGCACATACAGGGGATGGAGGCTCAGAGAAGCCACGTCACTTGCTGCAGGCCACACAACCATGGGAGTAGTCACAGGCAAACCTCCAGGACCCTGTCCTTCAGTATCAGCCTGGCTTACCCAGTGTCCAGCTGAGGCTGCCCTCCACAGGGGTAGTGTGCTCATCAATGTCATTCCCATACAGGCAGAGACCTGCCTCCAGGCGCAAGCTGTCTCGGGCCGCCAGTCCAGCCAGCTTCACCTCTGGGTTTTCCAGAAAAGCTGTTGCTAGGCGGACTGCCCCTGGTGCTGGTACTGAGATCTGCATGGGACACCAGAAAGCACGCAGGTGGTCAGCTGTCCCCCTCCAAGTCATGTCCCTGTCACTGCCCTATACCCATTCTTCTTGTTAATTTTTAAAATTTATTTTAAGAAGTAAAGAGAGAGCAAGAAATCTCCCATCTGCTGGTTCAGTCCCCAGATGCCTCCAACAGCCAAGGATGAACCAAGCTAAAGCTGAGAGCCAGGAACTCAATCCAGGTCTCCCAAAGTAGATGGCAAGGACTCAAGTACTTGAGCCAACACTGCTTCTTCTCTGGGTACATGTTAGAAGGAATTTGAAGTAAAAAGTGGAGTCAGAGCTTGAACCCAGGCACTTTGATATGAATGCAGGCATCTCAAGCTGCATCCTTTTTTTTTTTTAATTTGGGCTTTGGAATATTTTTAAGATTTATTTATTTATTTGATAGGCTGAGTTAGAAAAAAGTAAGAGATAAAGAGAGGCCTTCGACCCACTGATTCACTCCCCAAACAGCCACAACAGCAGGGGCTGGATCAGGCTGAAACCAGGCTTGGGACTCCATCTGGATCTTTCATGCGGGTGCAGTGACCCAAGCATCTGGACCCCCTTCCACTGCCTTCCCAGGTGCATTAGCACAAAACTGGATCAGAAGTGGAGCAGCCAGGACATGAGGTGAGATAGGGGCACTGAAGGTGGAAACCCAATCCACTGCACCCAATGCCAGCCTCTACGCTCACGTCTTGACATACCTCCATGCCATCCTCTCCTGTGTAGCCACAGCGGGTCACACGGCAGCCAGCTACTCCAAACACCTCCATCACAGCACTGGTCATGAAGGGCAGTTTCCTCAGGTCATGTGCCACACCAGCCTGCAGTACCTGGGCTGCAGTGGGGCCTGGGCCCAGGGAGCAAGTGGTCAAGCATCCAGATCCCAGTGCCCCCTCAAAACTGGGCTACAGCCCTTACCCAGGGACCAGGACAAACCCTGGACATGTCTGCTCTGCCAGTAGGAAAAGATACCCTTATTCCTAGCCCATGGAGCCTTGGGTGGGGGGCGGGGAGGGGCAGAAAAATACAAGCTTAGAGTTTTGCCACACAGACAACACACACCCACAGCCTCCTCAGCATGGGCTCTGTAATGAGCTTTAGACGAAGCCAGGAAAGCCAAGGTCAGCACCAAACCCAGCCTCGCCCTCTCACCTTGCAGAGCCAGCAGGGCATTATCCACTACCTCCAAGCCCACGTCACTGCCCTTGTTCTGAAGCTCCCGGACCTTGTTCTGAAAGAAAAGACAGAAACACCACATTAGCCTCTGGGACCACGTCCTGAGCCCCTCTCATGGGCTAGACGCTGCAGAGCGAGACTGCTTCCCATCTTACAAAGTCACAGAGCTACTAAGTGGTAGGGATAACCGCAGCTCAGGTCTGCTACCGCTCACACCCTCGCCAGAGGGTGTTTACCTAGAAGCCAAAGTCAGCTTCTCCCCACCTCCTTGAGCCCCCTACCACCAAACCCTGACATGCTCCAGGGGCAGGCCTGCTCTTGAGTCTCACAGCTCTTCATGTACTCAAAGAGCCAATTTTTGAGGCTGTCCAGGACAACAAGAATGCTGTTGTATGAACAAGAAAGACAAGGTACCTAGAACACAAAAGGACTTTACCTGCATGAGGGCCAAATCTTTATCCCAGCAGCCAGCATTGGACACCACGTACAGGTACCCCTCGGAAGTGTTGGTCACAATCAAGTCATCCAAGATGCCTCCAGCCTCGTTGGTAAACAGCGACAGTGTCCCCTAGCACCAAAGGGAAGCATCTTTGCCTCCAGATCCAGGAAGCCAACGCCAAGGGTCACACGCACATCCCTGGGCCCCCTCAGCCACCACAAATTCATGAACCCTCATGCTCAGTGTACGCAAGGTACAAGGCTAGGCCCAAGTCTAGGGTCTTTGATCCTCATGTACCAAGGAAGCTTCACTCTCTCCCCACCTTTGGGGAAGGGGTTCCCTGATCTACTGGGGTCCCTATACCCCCTCCCTACTCCGTACTGAGCCCTATGTCACACTCAATCTATAACACCTATCTATGGGAAGACTGGTTACCTCATACCACCTAGACCCAGGACAACTCAGGATAAAAGGATAAAAAGCTTCAAAGCCTATCTCAGTGACCTTAGGTGCCCCCATAGCACTGCATAGTGATGCCCCCAAGCACTCTATGGGTGTCTTCAGCCTCCCCACTGGACAGATGAAGAGTCTCAAGTTCAGAGGTCACAGGAATCACCTTGGGGAGCTTTTTTTCTTTTTTTCTTTTTTTTTTTTTCCATTTTCCTTTTCCTGTACACCTGGGGATCTTATTGAAAGAAAGGCTCTGATCAAACAGGCAGAGAACAGTACCTGAGATTATCGTCCTAACAAGCCCCAAGCAGTGAGGCTTGGTTAGGGACCACACTTTGTACAGCGAGGGGTTTGGCAGCATCGCAGAAACATACAAGGTCAGATGGCAGCACATAAACCTCAGCCCGATGTGGCAACGTGGAGGTAGGCTCCCCCCATAGATGGCTGGAAATGACCCTGGGACTGTCCTCCAAGACTGCAAGCCCTGGGAAGCTGTGTCTGACCATTTCTGTGGCCTCCCCCCCTACCAAGCCTGAGGAAAGAACTTGGCCCACTTGCTGGCTCATGATTCAGAACACTCATTGAGCAGAAGGAAGAGAAGGGCCCACCTGGTTTGGCCTTAGCTCCGCAATGTCTCCAACCACAAGACTCTCCATCAGCTTCACCCGGTCACTACCAAATATCTTGGTCTGCGGAAGAGACGGAGAGCCACAGGCCACTGTTACCACCGCAGCCTGAAAGGCCACTGGGCATCACACTGTGCACGGTGCAGTCCAGCCCAGAAATGATGGAGCAGTCTTTTGGGTCTGCAGGTGGCAAGGTCCTACCTCCTGACTCTGCTACACTCCCCAGCACGTGGTGTGACTAGGAGAGGTCAGGGGAACTGGGAGGACCCAGCACCTCTCTGAAAATACCCTCTTTTCCAAACCAATACCCAGCAATGAGAGTGGA